CATGTGTACAATGTGAGAAGCTCATTTCTGGTGTCCCCCGCCGTGATATTGCTGGAATATTGCTAAAAGCAGCGTAAAGCCATACTCACTCACTCTAAACCAATTACATTCACGTGGTATTATTTCCGGTACCTTTGTTAACAGCTGGTACACCAAATTTAAAATTCTGTGCCAATTAGTCAAGTTACTTGTGAAAAAGAGTTTGTGATCAACAGCCTGCTTTAATGTTAATAATCAACAAAATTCCCTCATGTTGTGATACCTTTCAGCTATTCTTTCGTAATATGCTAATGATAGAAAACCGGACGCAGCGACAGTGACAACGCTGAATCCGGGCCGATACAGTTCGAGGTCAGTTGTAACCTGGAAAATACACGGTTTTGCTACCCAGGGCATAGACTCTGATAGACATCAAGCTCTGACTTGATTAAGATTCTAGGTTTGTCTGCACCAAAACCATGCTCATGGGTTTCACCAAAGAAGTAAAGCTTTACGACATCTCTTTCCTCCCAATTATAATTCCATACCTTGACTTTGTGGACTTTGCAATCGCAAGGGATTCACATTATTAGAGCGTGAATATGAAAGATCTCTTTTCCCGTGTCAGCGGGTATCTCATCTTAAATAAATTTCAAGAAATTGGTCTGTATAATAAATTGAAATATGTATGTGAATAACTAAATGTTTTTAAATTTGGTGTGATGCTATTATCAACTGACATTATTAAAGGCTCTGTCCATGAGGTTAAAGTACTGTAAAATTATTGTCCCCCTGTGTAACACGTGATCCTATCATAATCGATGTAATTATCATCAACCAGTGTTTTTAAGCCAACTCATTGCTGAGTATTTTTTTTTTATTGGCTAGTATTGTGCACAACCACCAGTAGTAACGTTATGACGTAAATCCTGCTCTGGTATCATGCAGGAAGAAGAGGTACTGTAAGTCCCCATGATCCCCAGCGAGGTGGCCTAGGTTTGGTTACTGACCTGATTTCAAGCTGCGGGAACAACTGATAGAAGAAGCGAGACTTTGAATTACTGTAAACCCAACCCATACCATCCCGTTCGCTTATGTAATTATTTCGGTTCTGTGTTATCTAGCGACTTTTCAAGAACACCACACGAGCACTCCCAATACCACACCTTCCATCGTCTCACAGATGTGACAAGTCGAACATACGCGTTCGTTCGTTATAATCAATCAATCCCAACAACCATTGAAACGTGTGTGTGTTTTGTGTAACGCCGCACTAATATTTCAGTTATATAACGGCGGCCTCTAAATAATTAAGTCTGGACCGAACAATCCAGTGATTGATATTGTGAGCAACGATCCTCGCCTTCGTTTTGTTCTTGGTTGTTTTGTCCGCTCTTTAACGCCGCACACAGCAATATCCCAGCCATATGACGACGGTCTGTAAATCTTCAGACCCTTAATGGAAGGTGATGGTCAGGTTATCGGCGACTACATATAGAAATATAATTTTGGATACACTGTCACTGACTTTGTCACTGGATCAGTTATACTGTTCAACTATGTGTCAATGTTAAAAATTCTGTCACAGGGTTAATCTCAGCATATGTCGATAACATTTGCACAACCATCACATATTCTAGTCCATGTGAACGATACACAAAGCGCTTTACTTAATGTAATAATAAACTACTCAGGGAACACGTTTGGTTATAAAGGTAATGGTAACAATGTATTAGTGTATTAGTGTGGAAGTGGGTTTTTTCATGGATTGGCTAGGTGTTTGTGTTTTGTTTTGTCAGGTAACAGGTCGGTGATACTTTTCTTCATTGCAGTTGGAAGTAATATGTCACCTCCTGATACCCTTACTTTCGGGGGGTGGGGGGGGGGGGGGGGGGGTGGGGGGGGGTGGGGGGGGGGGGGGGGGGGGTGTTGACGGGTTATTAAAATGTACACCGTCAATCCATTCGTCCATCCGTCAATCTATGCAAGACGTCGTTTCCGGGGCAGATCGTCAAAAACGTACACTATGTCTTCACCAAACTTCGCACATAGATAGGTCTTGTGGTGAACTGGTGCCTTTTGATCGTTTTCGAGGTTCTAGAGAAACAGTTTTGACGTGGGCTTGATATAGTGGTAGTGCTCTTTTCCGGAAATCTTGAACGACGTACAATAATTCTTCATTTAACTTGCCACACAGATAGATCAAGTGGTGAACCTTTTGATAGTTTTTTGCAACAGAAATGTTTTTCCATGGCAACTCCATTCTGCCATGAAGAGCACTTTGAAATAGGTGTTTCTTGGAATGCATACTTACACATGGGCAAATAGGCCTGTCATTTCAGAACGTGCCACAAAGGAGTCACAGTGACATACACAACAAACTATTAATATATGCTCATGTGTAGCTGATACCATACATTATCAAGTCCTGAAACACTGACCAGAATCATGTTTACAAACACGATTACATATTGTTGATGAAATTCGGACGTCAGTACATTTTTATCTGCATGACATTATGCCATAGCTGGTTCAACACATCAACTTGTACAAGGTCATACCAATTCTTACAATTATCAACCAATTTTACTGACCAGCTGCTTCTGCAAGTCCATGACATGCACAAGCAGTAACCGGTTAGTATGGAAACCAACAATCTAATTATAAAAAAAGCAGAAGTACCATTGATCGTTACGTCTTTTTTTTTTACGTTCGTTTAGAGTCATCTTTTAAAAAAGAAAGTGAGTGGGTTTGTGTTTAACGTCATCGGCAATAATTCCGCCATATCATTACGAGAAAAATAGATAAATAGACAACATGCAATGTCTATATTTGTTTATCTAGAAAAAGCATAAGACACGGTTTGGAAAAGCATTAAAATACATATATGAACATGTTTTTATCACACAGATAAAATCAAGTTCGTGTGGGTTGTACCGTGTCTGATCATTTAACTGGGATCGGGGTATCCCGCTCGGCATATCGTGTACAGATCTAGGAGGTTAATCATGATATTTTAATTAATTTTGCTTCTAGCTAGGTACATGTACTTATCATGAATGACATTAAAATCTTTCTCAATGCATCTAATCAATGAACACTTTTCAGAGAGACAAATCATGTTTGATGATAATGTAAGAAACAGTAAGTAAGTTTCTTACTAAAAAATGTGACCGCTTTAGGGGTGAGAAGTTTAACTCGAGGATGACATATACTAATTGTACACCGTTCAACTACCATCGATGACACAGCCACTACTAATCTTAGTTCATAATTATTTTACTAACAACTAAAAATAACAACAAATCCTTAAAGAAGAACTCATATTTGTCAAAAAATCTTTAAGAGCTGATGCTTTGAATTATAAGATCACCAGTCTATCTGATCATACTTAATCGTGACTGTGATTCTATCAACAAATATTCATGTGTTAAACGTGAACGGCCAATACGTCTCGACTGGCAATCTAGTTAGTTGTTTCAAAAAGTTCATTTCATGTAATCTGTTGATGTCCACTTATGTTTCATTTCATCTTTGGTGTACCTAGTAAAAGGTTTGATATCACTGTATGATTTGTTGAGTACTTAACGTCCTGTAACACCAGCTATTGTGTTATCAATGAGTCCAGCATGGCTGGGTAACAAGCTAAAGTCAATGTCATATTGACCAGTAGCAAGCAAACTTTAACAATTCCACAATTTCAAGTAAAAACGTTGATGTGTACATGACATAAACACACGAAAGAGAGTGTGAACACATTATTTTATTTCAGAGCCCTAAATTGCCTTGGACTATCATTTGGTAATCTCGATCATAGAGATACCTTTTCACTCTCCTCCATAGCGTATAAGACCTCTGTATTATTAGAGGAGGTTTTTCAGATCTCCTTCCAACTTTGCATTTAAAGAGCCCTCGGGCATTTACCATGTGATAGAAAGCTTAAATGACGGTACAAAATAATACCAAAGAACTTGCTGTCCTTTTTATTTGCATTTAATTTTAAAAGGAATGCCATCCAATACAAGTGAGGGTTAAGAGATGATGCTGGCAATCCATGCAGGTGTTACCAAATGATAATTTGTTTATCTTCAATTATTTTGCATTTGATCTTAATTGGACGTAGTAACATGTTTGATATCACTAAATTAGAAAAATAGTTGTCACAGATGTTTTGAGTGCAGTTTGTTCTGAAGCGCCAGCCATTGTGTTATCAATGATTCCAGCATGTCAGGGTAACCAGCAAAGGACAATGTCATTTTGATCAGCAGGAAAATCGTTAACAAAAATCAACAAAATGAACAAATTCCAGTATAAAGTATGAAGCTTTTTTGTTTAGGTTGGTTGTTAATTTTAACTGTTTGAATGGCATTCTAGAAGGGGGCAAATAAGTATGGAAAAATTTACAACAACTCTATGGATAACAACTTCTGGTTCATGCAAATGGTGACGTTTTGATGTAGATTTTTACACCGTTATCAAACTGGAGTGACCAAGTGATGCGATAAATATGTGCATGACATATTGTGATAAGCAGCGGATGAACATAGACAACAACAGTTATAGATAACAAGCAGATAATGGATGAAAATTCGCGAAGTGCATTAAATCACGAGAGAACCTTGATTAAAAGCATGAAAAGGTTTAGAAAATATATGTTGACGCCCAGTTGACGGTACACATGCTTGCAAATAAAAAGAAATCTGCAGTCTTTGAACCAAACGTCGATTTCGTTACACGCGTTTGATTGGACAAGCAGGAAACATACTGTTAACTTCGAATTGTGATTGGTTTTGGCCACAAATTGGCAAAGCAATGGCCTGACCAATGGTTGCTCATACTGGATGTAGATAGGTAGAGTTCATTACTACTTACATGGGCATCTCCTCATGTGATTCTATAATAACGGGATTTGTTTGCACATCAACGTACCTAACCACCCGTTCTGTAAATGGACCTACCGATTGATAGCTTTTATTTATATATATATATATATATATATATATATATAGGGAGTTAAGCTGTGCTGAACAATGAATCGGTTGTTCAATTGCAACAGATAGCGATGGAAAATCTCGGGCTTGTCGTATTAGCTGTAATGCTTATGTTGGGCTTTGTCAGATGCGAAGAACACACTCGTTTCCTTGTTGACATCGTTGAGCCAAGAGGTGTTGCTGATGTGAAGACCACTATGGCCACTGTAAAGAGTATCTTGGACAAAACAGAGGGTGTTGAATTTATGTTCAAGGTTGGTTCAAATTGATATACTGTAATTGCTGAAAATTCACTGTATGGATTTTGAAGAACGTAAATTCAAATTCATTTTGATTTATCTCTGGAAGTATCACTGCAAATCATGTTGAATAGGGAAACAGTTTTTACAATACACAATGATGCGTCTTTGTGTCTTATTGCAGGAGGTTGGTGAACCAAGAGTATTAGTGAGTAAGTACAAACTTAAAAATTCTTTCTGAAAACGGGAATTTTATTTCTCAGAGTCACAATGTCTCACAAGTCAATGGGGTCCCATTCAGAATTCTATAATCCGTGTTTTGATGTGTGCGCTTGATAATGAGTGTGATGAGATCAAAAAGAGAGTTTTAAAGATCTTGAATACATTTTGAAGTTTTGATCCAATATTGTCATGTGGGCAACCAATCGAAAGCTAGCGCCAAGTTCAATCACTGAATGATTTAATGTGTAAGTGACAATTTGCATGGCAATCACTAGTTCAGAAAATAGTAGACAGTAACACCTCTTCATGAATTCATGACAAAAGTCATGGCCGATCCCAATTCCCTATTTTGACCATATTCTCCCATAATATGTTTCTGACATTGCCACAAACTGTGAATTATTTATCTTTTTAATGCCTTTTCCAGTTACATATAGAACTGACGAAACATAGGGGAACTGATGAAATGATAGTGAACGACATGGTGCAATGAGGATAAATGTCTACATTTCTGAGCTGTAGATCAATATCTGATGTGTCCACCATGTTGGGCGATATATGCACGATACCTTCATGCATAATTTTTATTGACTTGCATATGATTGCTCTTTCTAATACCCGCCCTTCTGCCAGAAACGCTTCCCCAAACTGGGCAACGTTGGTGAGTGCTGGGTCTGTGGCGTACACTACACGCCCGAGGACGTCCCACAGAAACTTCATTGAGGACATGCCAGGGACTGTATGCCTCATCACGATTTGGTCTGGCATTGTCATCAAACAGTTTAAAAATTCTACCGACAATACTTGCATATGGAACAACAACAGGGCGCAAAATTTCGTCAACATATGATTGACCATGCACAATAACAAATCAGTTCGCCTGCAATGTGTCATACCCACACCAAGAAACTACTGCCCAAATACCGACCGTGGTCAAGCACTGTTGTCCCGGCATACCGCTCGACGCTACATGATCACCAGCAACTTTTTCTGCCATCTGTGAGTCGGAGGCAAAACATTGAAGCACAGTCTGTTCCTGGTATGCGCATGGCCCATCCCAATCTGTGCCGTCTACGTTATGTTGTTAGGGTCATATCCTTCACAGGACGCCATCTTCTCAGGTGGGCTGCTTAGACCCGGTTTGTAACCTTCCCGTTATTGTACGGAATTCTCTGTTCATAGATGTGAATCTCTTGCATTGTGCAATTCATGTGATGAGACGATCTTGTCTTGGTCTCGTTTGTTGAGACCTGACACGCCCAGGTCTCATTGCAACCCCACCCGTTTGACGTACTTGCTCCATAGTCGAGAAATAACACTTATTGATTTGCTTAACATTCGGGCAACTTGGGATGTTGACGTCCCCGTCCCTATATCCTTCCCACAATTCGCCATTTTGCCTGTCCATTGAGATACTGTCTCGGGGGCATTGCTAAGCGTGTGCTTCGCTCATTTGCATTAGTGTTGTGTTCAGATACATGTACATTGCCTTGGTTTTACAAATGTTCACTGCATTCAAATCGTCAGTTCCCTTGTAGTACATTCGACAGCTGCACAGCTCACTGTTCAATATTGTATCGATATCTTATCAAATTTTATTGTATTAAAGCTCATGCTTATATGAACACCATGATATATACTCTTCAAAAAAAGAAACTTGATATAGATGTAAAACCACTTTTTGACATATATCTAAAATAATTTCATTAAATGAGAACCAAATAAGTCAAACAGAAAGATGATGTGTCTATATTTCGCGAAAACACATACAAAGCACATAAACGTAGCGTTTGGGGATCAATTTTACAGCTTCATCCAAACACAACCGCCTGTAAAAAACGTGCAGCACAGGATCCTGCATCTAGGCATGCAGGCCCCCCTGCTGAATGGGTATAAAAATCCACATCAACGGCTGTTCATACAGTCCTTATAACGGCAGTAGAGGCAGTGACAGAATGCTGAGACTGAATGCAGCTCAACGGAACAACGCCATTGAGAGATTACAATCTGGAGCAACTCAGCAAGAAGTGGCCAGGCACTTTTGCGTATCCAGACAGACAATCTCCGCACTTTGGACCCAATACAACAACACCAACAGAGTTGACAACAGACCAAGGTCAGGAAGACCAAGGGTGGCAACCCAAGCACAAGATCGATACATCCGGCTGCGACACCTCAGAGACCGCACTACCACAGCCATTTCTACTACCACACAGATCCCTGGGGTACGCAGAATATCAGTTCAAACGGTACGCAACAGACTGAGGGAGGATGGACTTTTTGCACGAAGACCTGTTCGACGTCATGTATTGACCCCACGTCATCTGGCGGACCGTCTGCTTTGGGGCCAACAGAGGGTTAGATGGGCACGTGCAAGGTGGAGAAATGTACTGTTTATTGACGAGTCCCGTTTCCTACTCACACGTGCTGGTGGGCGCGCACGTGTCTACAGACGTCGGGGTGAACGTTACGCCCCCAACTGTGTGCAGCAGGTTGCCCAATTTGGCGGCGGGAGTCATTGTATGGGCCGGAATTCATCACGTCGGTAGGACGCCTCTCGTGCATGTGGCAGGTGCATTGACAGGTGTGCGTTACAGAGACTTGATCTTACAGCCTTACGTTCTTACTCACGTCAACGTTCATGGCGGACAGTTCCAGCATGACAACGCTCGACCGCATATTGCACGTGTTTGTCAGGACTTCTTACAGCACAACAACATCCAGACATTACCTTGGCCAGCCCAGTCACCAGATTTGTCCCCGATTGAGTTTTTGTTGGACGAGTTGGATCGACGCGTTCGCAGAAGGAATCCACAGCCCCAAACACTTCCGGCGCTTCTTGATGCACTTCAGCATGAATGGCAGCACATCCAACAGCGTGTTATTGACAACTTCATTGCATCTATGGGTCGTCGGTGTCAAGCGGTGATTGATGCACGTGGTGGGCACAACCGATAGTGACATTTTCTGTACCCCTGTGACATTAACTGTTTCGTGTACGTGCGTCTGTCTAGGTGACATGATTAATGTTTTGAACATTGTGTACATTGATCTTCAAACAGTGTTTCGATTATGGTTTCTGTGTCCTATTTTGAATCAATCGCATTATATTACATTTTGAAAGTCAGTGTCAAGTCTCTTTTTTTTAAGAGTATATTTACTGTCGTGTGAAAGAACATAAAGGGGTGGTGAACGAGTAATTGTTACTGTTTGTTTGTTGTTTAACGCCGCACTCAGCAATATTCCAGCTATATGACGGCGGTGAACGAAGTAGTTAACTTATCTAGGAAAGATACAAAAGAAATTATCGACACGATAATGCTTACAAGTTATGGTTACATGTCTCGGGGTCATACTGACCATATCTGTCTCAATTATCATGTCTTTATAATCGCTTTCCAGTCCTGAATATTGCCGCTCTGTGCGATCTACGTCCTCTCGAGGAGCAGTTGTTCGCAGCTAATCTGGACATCACTGTGAAGTCTCTTTTCCCGGGTGAAAAACTAGCAGAGGATCTGGGGGTGAACAAAAGCCTCATTGCAAGTGCCCCACCTCCAACAAGTCTGACTGGAGACTACATTTACTATTGGGATGCCATATTCAGAATTGAAGGTAAAACCTATCGTCAGTTTGACTGTATACGGTTGCAGTGTTGTGCTTAAAATATACAAATTAGATTCTACGTATAGGTGACCAATGATGTCATGGTGTATTTCGTTGATAAGGCGCCTTTATCCGTGAAAATCCAGGTTAGAATAGGTCTTCAGCAACCCATGCTTGCCATAAGAGGCGACTAACGGGATTGCGTGGTCAGGCTGGCTGACTTTGTTGATGCATATTACCATATCCCCATTGTGTTGATCGATGCTCCATGCGACCAATCACTGAATTGTCTGGTCCAGACTCGATTATTTACAGACCGCCGTCATATAGCTGGAATATTGCTGCCTGCGGCGTAAAACAATAAACAAAAAAATATATTGAGTCTCTTTATACATTTTATTGACAAGACAACAACCAATCATACCTGTGTCATGATGTTAACATGAATAATTCAGGTCTAAACAGTGAAGAATACAAAGAGGAAATTCGAGACAATCTGGAGAACAGCCTAAAGTACAGATTGGACAATCACCAGAATCTCATGTACAGAGTTCTCGGACAGTTTCCTATTCAGGTAATTAATATAAGTGACTACCATTTCTGTCTCGATACGGCTCTGCTTGTCTTTGAGTCTTGGTCTTTGGTTCAGCTTTGTGTCACTGATTGCCTGGTCCAAGCTCGATTACCTACAATCCGGAATTTGCTTAAAACGGAAGATTGCATAAAACACACCCACTAAAACACTTCAATGAACCCAAGTAGAATTATCAAAAGTTCACTTTCCAATTCGTGTCTAGTATTTACTTTGTGCCTTTTGAATGAACACATTAACTTGCAATTAATTCAGGCCATATTAACAAAAACACATTTAAATACTTCGTCGTTTCTGAAGAAATCTTGATTATGTTTGTTTTTCCTTGTAGATGATGTATTTTGCAGCACTGAAACCAGAGGATGCTGAGATGGTTATCTGGCACTTTAACCGCCGGAAACTCATTTTCACGGCAAAGGTGTCCCTGGTGCAGTACCTCGACGTCTATCTGAATGGCTGTCAGTTTCAGACAGTTAATTTGTCATAATTTGGCAAAATGTACTCCCACGGGATACATAAGATACATTTTGTCACAATCTGAAAATCTTCAGATGACTAAACAATTTTTTCTGTGCACTTAGCAGTACAATGAATCGTACAATGGACTTCTTCACACCATGGGACGTGTTTTTTCGCTTTCATTCATGTACTCAATCCACGCCGCTGGTGTACGATGGCAAGCAGGCAACAAAGTCACCGAGTGTGACCATGCAACCAGATCCATTCAGTCGCCTCTTACCACCAGCCTGTGCTGCTGAGGACCTATTGTAAATCCAGAATGCCCGTGGGTCTCAAGAGCAAATTATTGAAAAGTCAGCCTTGGTCCATTGTACACCATTTAATTAACCACACCACCAGTTTAATTCAAAAGACTTTATTACAACAATCAGTGATGTAATTACTTATATCGTGTACAGATCTAGAAGGATAATCCTGACATTCTATTTAATTTTGCTTCTAGCTAGGTACTTTATCAAGAATAACATTGACGTCTAACATTGTCTTTCCAGAAATTAGTTCAATGCAGCTAATCAGTGAGTACGTATCTTACATAAAAATGCGAGGTTTTTTGGGGGGGTGAGAAGTCCAGGATGACATATACGATCTACGTGTATATGACACTGCCCAACCAGTGTGGTTAAATATACCAAAGATATATTTGACATTGTGATAAATAGTTACTTTTACCGTTATTGTATCAATTATATATTACAAATTATGAATGTTCCAAAACTACTTTAAACCCATTAATGCACCTAATTCATATTAATTGAGTGAGTGACTTTAAGTTTTACCTATTCCAGCCGTAAAGTGACCAGCACAAATTGTACACTAACAAGATCTAAACCCTTGTTGAACATAAACAGCATACTAGCCAGATTATTACAGATTTTATGTCAAACTCGAATAAAGAGTAGTTAATATTTATAACTATTAATTGACAGTACAAACTAGATCGCCAGCAACCAAATACAAAACGCCAGAGAATAATCAGTCTCCATTGGGATGTAAAAGGCCAAACAAGCTGTGGAAATGATATGAACGGATCATTGAATATCAGTGATGACACCAGGTGTTTGCAAATGTGAGGCCCCACACTAGGGATCATATGAACTTCTGTTACACTATACCTCTAGCTGATGTAAAAGGTAGTACAAATACATATACATGGTCATACAAAACCCTTTGAGGGAGACATTAATTGTACACTACTTCAACTCCCATCGATGGCACAGCTCCAACCAATCTCATTTTATAATTATTTTACTACCAATTTGTTAACTTTTTAACTTTGTTCATCAAAATGTACCATACTAGAATTTCTTAAAACAAGAACAAATCATTAAAGAAGAACTTATAGTTTTCAAAAGATCTTTAAGAGATGATGCTTGGAATTATTAATCCCTTGTGTGTAAAAGATGCCCGTCTAGCTGGTCATGCTTAAACTGTGATTCTTTCAACAAATATTCATGTGTTAGACGTGAACGGCCAAAACATTTCGACTGACAATCTAGTTTGGTGTTTCCGAAAGTTAATGTCATGTAATCTGTTGATATCCACTTATGTATCATTTCATCTTTGATGTACCCAGTAAAAGGTTTGATATCACTGTATGATTTGTTGATTACTTTACATCCTGCAACACCACCTATTGTGTTGTCAATGATTCCAGCATGGCTGGGTAACCAGCTAAAGACAATGTCATATTGACCAGTAGCAAGATATTTAAACAATTCAACAATTTCAAGTACAATGTTGATGTGTACATGACATACACGAAAGAGAGTATGAAAACGTTTATTTATTTTAGAGCCCTAATTTGCTATCATTTGGTAATCTCGATCATGACGCCACCTTTGGACTCTCTTCCACACACGGTGAAGCCATAATTCGGTTTGGAGCGTATACGAGCTCTGTATTATTAGAGGAGGTTTTTCAGATCCCCTTCCCACTTTGCATTTGAAGAGCCCTCAGGCATTTTCTCTAAATATTTACTGTGTGATAACAAGCTTAAATGATGGTACGAAATAATAACAAAGAACTTGCTGTCCTTTTCATTTAATTTTAAAAGGAATGCCATCCAATATTAGTTTGGATTTTCATACTAATCTAAAACAATTGTCTAATGACCATTTATGAATTTCATTTAGTAATAACTGTAGGTACCCTTTGACAGTATTCATATTCGTACCACTGCAGAGAGTGCTAAGACATCCGCGAAAAGAAATCCATCAATAGAGTCGTTTAAAACGTTATTGAGGCTATTAATGTTTTATACCAAACAACTTGAAAGACAAAATACTGCCCTGTGGGATACCCTAATCATAGTTACATGATTAGACAGGGTACAAACCACACTAATTTTATTGTGATAAAAACTTGACTTTAAAGCACCTTGTCATTGAAATTGGTTGATAATTGTAACCCGGTATGGTCTCGTCCAGGTTCATGTATTACACCAGATACAGCATCATATCATGAATAACGAAAATGTACTGTAATGTATAAAATATGCAATCGTGTTTGTAAGAATGATTCTGGTTAGGACTTGATGATGTATGTTATCAGCTAAAAATGAACTTTATATATTGATATATTTACCCTTGTTCAAATATGCATTCCAAGATAGCACCTTTTTCCATGCGGGCGAACTCGAAAACACTGCCGAAAATTCCAAACTGTCAAAAGACACCAGTTCACTACTGGAACTATCTTTGTGCCAAGCTTAAGTTTGTGAAGACATATTGTACATTTTTCAAAATTTCCTGAAACGAGCACAACTACAATTTGTTGCCTTGAAAACACGTACATTGTATCAGCCGAAAATCAAAAATTATCGAAAGACCTATCTTTGTGCGAAGTTTGGTGAAGACATATTGTAAGGTTTTTTAAGATCTGCTCCGGGAACTGCATCTTCCTCAGACGGACATGTTCTTATGAATTATTTCACCCAAATCGCATAACCTTGTACTGGTAATGTCCACTTAATGTAGGAAAAGCAGCAATCGTCTTTGCACACTCAGGTATTGGGTTCTGGTAGTACCCCTTTCAAAGGTAAAACTTACTCACAAACATTGGGTAGCCTAGTGGTTAAAGCGTTCGCTCAGTCACGCCGAAAACCCGGGTTCGATTTCCGACATGGGTACAATGTGTTAAGCCCATTTCTGGTGTCCCCCGCCGTGATATTGCTGGAATATTGCTAAAAGCAGCGTAAAACCACACTCACTCACTCACAAACATGGATGGGAACGAGTTTATTTTGCACAACAAGTTCACTCTTTCCAGGTCGTACTACATCGAAAGGGTTTGTTAGATTGACAACAAATACTGATAACCAAACGTCTTTCTTTAGTACTTCATTTCAAGAACTGAGGGACCATATGCTGCAGTCCATGTGTAGTACATGTTCTTTTTAAGAGTGCATGATGAATATATATATTAAGGATGTTTCCATTTAAGATGTGTGCTCATCTGAGTCAGAAAGGGGCGTTTGGATAGCCTAGTGGTTAAAGCGTTCGCTCGTCACGCCGAAAACCCGGGTTCGATTCCCCACATGGGAAGAATGTGTGAAGCCCATTTCAGGTGTCCCCCTCCGTGATAGTGCTGTTATATTGCTAAAAGCGCCATAAAACCGTACTCACTCACTCACTGAGTCGCAAAGGGTCATCGTAGGTCATCAAACAGTGACAAGCTAAACAATTACTTTCGTTGGTATTTTCGAATTGACATTGCTTCCTTAGGCAATGGTTGCAAAACAATAATGATAATACAGTGTATTTGTACCGCACCACCCTCCAAACACAAAGTGCTTGCTCAAAGCGCAACAATAGTCTAACAGGAATAATCTTCACTGAATAGATATGTCTTAAGAATGGATCTGAAAGTGCCTAACTGCAGCTGGGTGATAGTCTTATGTGAAGCGGAAGAATTGTTCAAAAGTTAAGGACCATTTGTGCAACAAGCTTTACAGCTATAGGGTGTGAGTTTGTAGTGAGAAACCACCAGTTTATTGTGAGTCCTGTGGTCGAAGTATTCTCTGGATTGTCCTGGAGAATTAGACTTGACAGATAGTTTGATCCTGGGCTATGTAGACATTTGTATGTGAGGCAGATTCCTTTTTATTGGACTCGGAATTCAACAGGCAGCGAGTGCACTGCCATCGATACTGACGTAATGTGTAAGAATCTGGAAGATCTGGATACAATAAGAGCTGCAGTAATCTGTACCTTCTGAAGATTTGAAGTGAAGATTTATTGTTTCCATACAGTAAACTATTGACAGAATCCTGTCCAGAGAGTACCGAGGACTGAAAAAGGATCTTGAGATGGTGAGATGACCTATTTTCCCAGTGCATCTTAGGTGGGAATAGCAGGACGTCATCAAAGTGCCAACCTGTGCATCATTTGAAGGATGTGAATCAATAACCCCCTTTAATCTTTCACTTATGCAGAAAATGGAATGGTTGCCTGGCCAACTGTGACACTTTCCTGACTTGTCCTCTGTAGCAGATTTTGTGTGCCAACTAAGAGTGTTTCAGTTTTGTCACCGTCAGCTTCAGTTTGCTCTCCGTTATCCAAGTCTTTATGTGTGTAGTGTAATCAGTAGTCCTGTGCAGTGCGTCAGTGATTTCTGTCGGTCCAAATCCATCAATGATCTGTGCATCATCGGCATACTGCTGATGATCCAGGTCATGCTCTTCAGTTATCTTCACAATCCACACTGTAAGTAGTAGTAGAATCTTATCTCTCATTCCCAATTACCATACCATGTCGTCTTCTGTCCAGATTATGAGATCCTAAGTATCGCGTCTTATCATCATATCAGTAGATAATCTATTGAGGGGTATTACACGTTCCAGAGTGTCTAATGCTATTGACAAGTCGGGGAGGATTAGAGTAGCCTTATTTCCTCTGTCAACATGACACAACATAACGAGGCTTTCTGGAATTTTAAGCATTGCGTGTTTATGTCATACTGTCTAGCTCGATTGGTTGGTTGGTTGTTTAACGCCGCACTCAGCATTATTCCAGCTATATGATGGCAGTCTGTAAATGATCGAGTATGGACCAGACAATCCAGTGATTAATGTCATTTAGCATCGATCCACGCAATTGGGATCGATGACATGCATCAACCAAGTCAGCGAGCCTGACCACCCGATCCCGTTAGTCGTCTCACGACAAGCATAGTCACCTTTTACGGCAAAAAACGGTTGCTGAAGAATAATTTTACCACGGAATCTTCACGGGTCGAGAACTTAAGCAAAAGTTATAGTTACTTTTAACACGTTTACAGGGAAGGTAACCGTTAAGTTTCACGTACGGTAGTCTTATCAGGTTACATGATTCATAATAATACTCAAGTGAGTGAAATAAAATGTAACGTCCGACCAGCATTATTTTAGGATAATGCTTTGGCAGAAGTAGATGTTGCACCATTGCAAGAAAACACACAAAAGACTTGAGTTGGATGTAAGGCCACAGGTTTATATACAGAAAAGTACAAGGACTGGGGAACACTCATGGGCTGGGAAACGCTAAACACGGCTGCAACTTGCCACAACTACAATATAAAAGAAAACAAGCAGCAGTACATATTCCTGATACATACAAATACTTGAAATTAGATTAACTATCAACTGAGGAAATGTTATACAGATATATACGTTTGACATGAGAAGTGATGGGTGGGATGGGAGGGAAAAAACGTGTTACCGGTGTGGTTGTGTGGATGAAAAGAGGATGTAGCAACTAAATTCAGCTGCAACATGGGTTACTTCCCTTTGTTTACAGCATGTGAAGAACAATTCCTGAATAATACACTGATAAGGTGCCTTGCACTATTAAACCAGGAAGAGTAGCTTCCCTTGCACTATTAAACCAGGAAGAGTAGGAGAACACTCCTGGGCTGGGAAACGCTAAACACGGCTGACTGTCAACCCAAAGGTGCCCGGACAGAACAGCAAACGCGGCTCCGAGAGTACAAACCATACAGAGCCAAATGATGGGACCCCCAGGGAAAAGCGCATAGGGAGTCTGCTGTAGGCTCTACAACCACCATTATACAATAGGGCCTAGAGGGTATTCCTCAAATACCCCCAAAACACCAAAATCACTACTTCCAGCCCAAAAGTGTTCCGCCGAGATTAATTAGCCCCAAATACCTTACTTTTTACTTCAGTATCTGCCATGAAGTGCTGAAAAGCCTCTTGTAAAGTGTTCACAAACAATGCTTTCCCACTTCGGAAATATGTACGCCATCATGGCGGAAAAATCCTGTTTCAGACATGGTAAGCTTGTTATAAATACAGCGGCCACCCCAATGCAACACTGCTTTGAACCCAGCTCGGTTCAGTCGACGTCGAGCCCTCTCTATCGCCTTTGGATTGACAACTCCATACCAGTATAACCGTGGTAGCACTTCTGACCAAACAAGAACTGTCCTTGGCTGCAGTTGAGTCAGGTAGTAGATGCCATCAGTAACATGCCAAACAAGGGAACCAATATTCTGGTCAACAAGATCATTTGATCCCACATGCAAGAGTATTAGACTTGGGGAAGGTATACGGCCTAATTGTGTCTGGACGACATACAAGAGTTCTGACCACT